TATATATATATATATATATATATATATATATATATATATATAACTCTTTCTGTCTCCTTTTGTCTGTCTCTCTATATCTACCGCTGCTTCTACCCCCCCTCCTCCTCCTCCCCCTCTTCCTCCTCATACTCCTGCTGCTGCTGCTGCTGCTGCTGCTGCTGCTGCTGCTGCTGCTGCTGCTGCTGCAGGAGCTGCGGGGGGCTGGGTTGACGCCTGACTTTTTGTTTTGTCGTAGCGAGGAGCCGCTGACGGAGGCGGCGCGGCAGAAGATATCTTTGTTTGCTCAAGTAGAACCAGAGAATGTAAATATATTAAAAAAAAATAAAAATAAATAAAAATTATTTTTATTTTGTTTTGTTTTATATGTTCTTTATTTTGTTTCTTTATTTTGATTTTGTTTTGTATTATTTGTTTTTACTCATTTTATTTATTATTTATTTTCCTCTCATATATATTTTATTTTTCCTTTTTATTTATTTTTTTTTTTTTTTATTTTTTTTTGTTTTTGTTTCGGTTCATTTACCTTTATGTATGTTTATTTAGTTTGTCTTTCTTCGTCTCTATTTATCCTTTTATCTCTTTTTTTATTTTTTTTTTTAATATTACTCAACTAATTTATTTTATTTATCGTAATTTATTTATCTTAATGTATTTGTCTTTATTTATTTATTTATCTTTATTTTTATTTTTATTTTTTTTATTTTTATTTTTTTTTATTTTTTTTTTTTTTTTTTTTTTTTTTTTTTTTTTTTTTTTTTTTTTTTTTTTTTTTTTTTTTTTTTTTTTTATTTTTTTTTATAGATATTTTCAGTTCATAACTGCGAAAACATTTATCGAGTGCCGCTCATCTTAGAGGAACAGGGACTGTCTGAGCGGCTTATCCAGGTAAACTTTTTGTCTCTTTTTGTCTCCTTTTGTCTCTTTTTGTCTCCTTTTCTGTCTCCTTTTCTGTCTCCTTTCTGTCTCCTTTTGTCTCCCTTCTGTCTCCCTTTCTATCTCCTTTTTCTTCTCTCTCTGTTTTTATCCTTTTCCGTCTATATATCTCTTTCTGTCTCTCTTTTTGTCTTTATCTATATAAGATTTAATAAAAGTATTATTTTAATTACTATATCAAAATCCCAAAATAAATAATAAAAAAGCTAAACAACACCAAAACAAAAAAAAATAAAAAAAATAAAATAAAAATAAAAACAAGATAAATTCTCTTT